CATTATATCCATGAGGTAATTAAAATGTTAGAGGAGAATATGTGGACCAAAATAAAATCTATATTTATGATTTAATTTAGATAATTATTTAAATTTAGAAAATAGGATTTTGAAAAGTTAATTAAATAAAATTTATATTTATGAAAAAATTATTAGAGGTTTCCTAAGGTCAGAGAAACACTTAGACAAAATTTTATGATTTTTTGAATCAAATTTTAGATCAATTTTCATGATTTATTTAAATAGAAAATAGTGTTTTAATTATAAATTTTTTTCTATATTTTTATTAGACTCCTCTGAGTTCAGAAAACTCTGAGAATCAATTTTGTATTTTTTGATTTTTAATTTATTTAATACAATTATTTTAGTGAGAAAAATATGAAAAATTCATTTTTTAAGCCCTTAAAATTTATTTTTAAGTTAAAAAATTAGGAAAAATGTCCTAACGAATTCTAAGTAATCAGGGGCATTCCCACTCATTTTGAATCATTTTTTGTATTTTTAAAAATTTTGATTATTTTAATTATTTTAATTCAAAGTATGTTTTAAAAAATGAAATTTTTTCACAAAAATGTGTTTTATTTTTATAAAATGCACCTAATCGCAATGCTATGGTCATTTATTCTGGGTACTTCGTATACCTCATTGCATCCCCTATTTTTGTTGTCTTATGCACGCCCTACGAGACACACTGGAGCATGGATTGGACTTTGTCGGTGGGACTTTGTCGAGCTTGGAGCGAGCAAAGAAAATGCGTCTACAACCGTCAGTGGCGAGATTTTCTACCTCATAGCCAGCCTTAGGAATAGTGGAGTCTAGGCGTGTGGGTTCGATCACCCACCGTGCGCCGGCATGGGTCGGCGCAACGACGTGCCTTCGTGATGGATCGTTGAATTTTCTAGAGCCAACCCTTAGGTTAGGACTTTCTATGCGTGGCCAAATACCCCTGTAGAGCCGAGTGTCTCCCCTCTTGTTGCGAACCTTAGCACAAGTCCCGATGGGTCGGAGTCCCTCACTCCCCTTGCTTTGGATTCCCCAACTTTACTTGGAGAAGTTAAGAGGTCCAACTTGGCAAAGCGAGAGAAGCTTTGTAGCTGGCTCGCTTTGCAAAGTTTGGAGGAGTTACCAAAAATAGAAAAAGCTTTGTAGCTATCCTATTTCGCGAAGTCGTGGAGAGTTTCCCCCTCGGAGATTTCGGGAGAAATTCCCCACATTTCCTCACCAAAGCAAGAGGCGGCGGTGCCGCATATCCAATGGTCTAAACCTTAGGTCTCCCAGGTGAGGTCGTTAGCACGAGCCCGGTTTTCTATCTGCATGTTAATTTGCTGCATATTGCATTTTTTGGCTTGGTGCATATTGCATTTCACTTCGCTCCGACCAGCCGCCCCAGTCCGGCGAGCATTTCACTTCACTCCGATAGGCCGCTCCGGCCCGGTGAGCGTATCACTTTGGTTTGACCGACCACCACGGCCCGTTCGACCGATCACCTGCATTTTTGTCTGCTTTTGCATTATATCACATGCTTGTCTGCTTGCATGTCGCAC